TCCTACCAATTTCAGATGATGGGAGTGAGTTAAGGAGTTAATTAGTTCTTTCATATTCTTCATACTTTATTAGTTGCTTTAAAATTTTAATCTAAGTGGAAATCTATTACCTCCAAACATTGAATCTTCATAATTGGAACTAGAGAGGAAAAGGAAGTTTCCAGACCTTGTTAAATAACTTCGGATGAATTTTACATACAGTTGCTTTAATTTATACGCGACAAAGTAGTTGGTAGTCTGTGTAGAATGCCGGTTAGATATGCTTCTTTCTCATGTACAATTGTTCTTGTCATTGGTTATGATTATCCTGTTTCTGTATTTAAGCTGATGACAACTGGTATTGATGCAGGAACTGGTGCTACGTGATGATCAATTAAAAAAAAAAGTTCCTGATGCCAGCATATTTAAGAAACTAATGGTTTTTTATGTTTCTTACTTCACTGAATGGATTGTATCGGGTCAACAACACATTGAAAGAGCTCTATGTATCTAAAAATGAAGTGATGAAGATGGAGGAGATCGATCACTTTCATGACTTACAGATTCTTGAGCTCGGCTCTAACAAATTACGGGTTAGTAATATGGTTTGTTGTAGGAGAACCTATCACATAGTATTATTGGAGACAGATGCCACTTTTGTCTGGCATACATGATATATTGGGTAGGAGCATGATTGTGTGCCCTGCGGAAAAGTGGGCAGTGACTTTGCTCGCTGTAGCTTCTAATTTAGCGTTGCTTGGGTTCTGATTTATTTGCATTCCTGATTCAGGTGATGGAGAATTTGCAGAACTTGACAAATCTTCAGGAGCTTTGGCTTGGACGTAATCGAATTAAGGGTGGAACCTTGTGCGGGCTCACATGCATCGAGAAAATTAGCTTGCAAAGCAATCTCCTAACTTCAATGACAGGATTTGAGGTATTTAGCTCAATATTGTTTTCCCTCTAAGTTTGATACAGAGTATTGAGGGAAAATATAAAAAAGTCAATCAAAGCCCTGTTATGAGTTATGTCTTATCCTCTCGCAAAACCGTTGATCTATATGACAAAAATATGTAATCAAGTGTTTTGAGAATTGGACCGCCTTTGGGATTAGACAGTAATCAGACATTGAGAACCAAAACGAACAATGGAGAATTGGACGAGTAGATCTAGTGGGAAAAATAATTAGATACCGCATTGTTCAGCTTCTTGAGGTGTATTCTTCACAAACTTGCATTGATGTACGACTCTTAAACATCTCAGTAATATATAAAAGGACTGCTGCTTTCAAAAAAGGGTGGGAAAGCATAATATCGACCCATTAATCTAATGATATATAAAACGGAAGTTTCGCTTGTTTTTAAATGGGATCCGTCGAGTATGACTTGTATTAATTTTGCGGATTCACAGTCCATAAGGAAACTTTTGAGGTTGCCATCGATAAGAATTAATGACTTAATTCTGATCAAGCTAAGTGGTTATCCAAGAGATTATACACATGCACCCGAGTGAGTTTGCTCCTTTGTTTGGTTTTCATACAAAGTACAACTTCTTTGCCATGGTGTAAAGGCAATGAAATTTTTGGAGAAAACATAAAAATTAAAAAAAAAAAAAACGCTTACAAACATAGCCATAATACCGGTAGCAAAAAGAGTGGGGGTCAAATCACATACTCACATCACGGTCCTGTGAATCGAACGAAAGAGATAGAGTGATAAAATGGTCTCCAGATTTGTAACTCCCACGGATCATTTCGTTGGCGTCAGCATCGTCATGAGAGGATCCTGTTTTCTGACCCACACCTTCCCCTCTTTTCTTTTTCTTCATTTCCTAATTATTATATTACTCCTCTAACTCTTAATATAAAACCTATTTAACTAACTTCATCTATAAAGTTAGGTAAGTTAGTTAATTATAAAAAATAATATTTTTTCTAAAATAGCATAATCATCTTCTTTAATATCCTCTATTTTTTTCCTACTTGATTATGGTTGAGGAAATATCAATAAATAGGTCTTATATTTAGGACTGAGATTAACTCAACAATTATATCCTATATTAATGATCAGAGGAGTAACATTTAAATGACTAAATTTTACTCTTTCATGAGAATATTATGAAAAATTTAAATTATTAAAAAATAATTTCAAATTGCTAAAAAAATTTTGAATTGTTTAAAATTATAGACAAAAAATTAAAAACATTAAATTTAAACTGAAAAATATTAATTTAATTATTGAGGTGAAAAATGGAAGAGAATTTGTGGCCTGGATTGCGAATTATGAAAAGTAAAGCTATATATATAAATCAAAAGTAAAGTTTTATACACAGCCTCATATATTCGTCACTAGCTCGGGGGGTTTTCAATTAAAGCTGTTGTTGGCTGTTGCTGTGTGTGTTCGTAAGAGTTTAGCAGAATAATTAGGAAATTAGTGATGAGTGTGAGTAGTGCTGTGAGTTAATGCATGCAGTGTGTGTTGTCGTTAACGCAGTGTCGTCAGTGTGTTCTTCCGCCCTCATCATGTTTTACTTGGAAAAGAATTGAAGTAAATAAGAGGGAGAGATCAGAATGGAAACAGAACCATGAATAACTTCCTTACTCCCTGTGTCAGTTTTTTTTTTTTAATAGATGTCCGTTTATTTACTTAGTACTTTCGATCCTAATTATAAGGTTTCGTTTTATGATTATGACTGGAGATGGTATTTAGAAACCTATTCTTTTCGCAAAACCGTTGATCTTTGTGACAAAAATATGTAATTAAGTGTTTTGAGGCTTGGACCGGATTAGGATTTGACAGCCACACATTGAGAACCAAAACGAACAGTGGAGAATTATATTGGACGAGCGGATCTAGTGAGAAAAATAATTAGCCAGATGCCGCATTGTTCCAGCTTCTGGATGTAATTTTCTTCACAAACTAGCACTGTGACATTAATTTTGCGGATGCCCAAATTCCACCGACATCACAATCCGACCAAATGCACGTCCGTGAGGGATCAAAGTCACATTTTGGCACAAAAACCCAAGTTTGGAGGGCAATTCTGTCATTCAGCGTGAGAATTACTACCCCCAAACTTACTCTTTTGATTCTATTTATAGAGTAGAGAGAGAATATATTTTTTGGTTCTATTTATAAAATATTAAGAAATTTTTTTTGCATGGATGTACAATTTACCCTTCATTTATTATTATGTTGGTTTATTTACATGAGAAATAATATATATTAAATAAGAAAAAAGTTAAAAAATTATTAAATTTTAAATTAGAGTTAATAAAATTTAAAATTTTTTTTAATTCGTGTGAAACATATTAAAAATAACTTATAAATAAAATTAAAGAAGTATATTAGAACCACGCAACTCACCCAATATTCGTGGCCTTCATTAAACGGGGGGCTCAGCTTCCCTCCGCTGACGTTGCCCTCCGCTGCGGATAAATGACAATGCGTTTGGAATATTTTGTCGAACGCGGCAGAAGTGACGTGCTCTAAGATCCAAGTCCCGACTCCTGAATTAAGGAAAAGGAGGAGTCCAATCTCATGTCTTTGATACTTTGATGCGGTGATTGTCAATCATCACCAAAATTTTATTTTCATCTAAGAAAATTATTTGTAAATAAACAAAGATTCCTGTTTTACCTAATAAAATTCTCTATTAAGAAAAAGCCATATAAACCAAGGAATGAATCCCATTAAATACAATTTTTTGAACAATATTTATATCAAGTTTTTTATATCAATTATGTCAAATTTTCTAGTCATATATAACCATATGTCATATTTTTAAATTATTAGCATTTACTAGCATTTAATCATAAATCTACACAAAATAAAAAAAGAATATATGGTCATATATGATTAGAAAACTTAAAGGAACTTGATCTAGGTTTCCTCCAAATTTTTTGAAAAATATACTACCTCCAACCCTTGACATAAGAGTTAGCAAGAAATTCAATTTAGTTCTGAGTATAAAACCTCAATTTATTTTGTCTTCAATATTTATCAATTTTATCCTAAATAATCCTTATGATAATAAAATAATGTTTAGCTAAATTAGTCATAATTAATTGTTAGCCATATAAAATCATATTTATCAAAATTATAAAAATTAAGTTAACGTAAAATTTCGAAAGAAAAAATAGAAGTTGAAAGATATTGATATGTTAGGTCAATAAAATATGAGGTATTATGATTCATTAAAAGATAAGTATAAATTTCATTTTTTTCATTGAGAATTTTAGTCACTACGTATGGTTCTTGATATATAAGCTAAATAACTAATTTGTGAATATTAAAAAAAATTAGTTATTAGTTAGTTATTTATAATAAATATATCTTTTCTAAAATATCATTATTAATTATATGTATTTGAATTATCTTTAACATATATAATTATTATAAGAATTACTTGAGAGTAAAATGAATAAATATTAGAGATAAAGTGAATTGAGATATTATATTTAGAACCAAATTAAATTTCTAACTAACTTTTATATTAAAGATCAGAAGTGGTATATTTTTTAAAAAATTTTATTAAGTAAGATTCAGTACTTAATTTACATGGCTTTTTTTTAACAGAGGATTTTATTACGTAAAGCAGGAATATCTGTTTACTTACAAATAACTTTTTTAGATGAAAATAAAATTTTGCTGAAGATATCCTAGAAGTGAGATTGGCGGAAGCCAGTACCGATGAGCGTGGAAAAAAGTGCTCCAAAAAGAGAGTGTGGATGTTGCCGTGAGTGTGGATAAAAGTCCAACCTTCAACTTTGAAGTTCAAGGTTAACACTATACCTAATTTGAACTTTGGAGTTCAAGGTTAACATTATACCTAATTTTGGAGCATCCACACTCACTGCAACATCCACACTCTCTCTTTTTGGAGCACTTTTTTGGCGTCCTGGGTCAGCCCCCGCCTATATATTGGCTTACTCGAAATGGAGTCCCGTAAGCAGCTATCCGGTGGCCAGAAAACTAAACATTCAGTTCCATTGTTGCTTTCTTCGGGTCAGCGTTGCCGTCATGGCTTCCAAGAGAAGGGAGGTTGTCGATCTGAACAAGAGTATCTCTGGGTACCTAAAGAGAGTGGGTGTGAGCAAGAAAGCAAGGCTTGCGTTTAGAAGCAAAGCTAATTCCATGGTAGGACTTGAATCCCACCGCTCCATGTGGTTCCGCAGGTTCACCGCTCAACTCTCTCAAATTCTGCGCCAAATCGAACAACCTCGTGCTGAAATCGATCTCAATGAACCTGCTGATCTCCTCGACGACAAGGTATAACTAACCATATTCTTCTTCTTCTTCTTCTTCGGCAATGAATACGTATGAGTGACTTACGTATGCCTGCATATATGACACTTTTATGTTGATGATCACCAGGTGGAAGATGATTCCCATGGAAAACGTAAGAGGTTAGGAAGCCAGCGGATCACCAGTACTCCACTGCGCATCCCTGAAAGCAAGGAAGGACCATCTGGCAGGCCAGCGCCCAACAACGTTCGTCCCTCCCACAACCATAACAGCCAAGTTCCAATTATTCTGCTGTCGGACTCTGACTGACAGCCGCAATTCTACATCCCAGGAAGGCTCACCTCTCTCGTTTCTACCGTGTCATGGATATCCCCTCAGTCTGTCTTGTGCTCCTTGAGAATGATTGTCTTTTTATTTTTTAATGTGCCCTTTTTCTGCAGAATGATTGTCTTTTTAGTTTTTAATGTTCCCTTTTTCTGCAGAATGATTGTCCTTTTAGTTTTTAATGTTCCCTTTTTCTGCTTTCCCGTTGGTAGTAACAATAATCAGTAGTCAGAAATTAAAACTGGGGGGTTGATGTTTTGTATGAGCCTTTCATCGACAGTGTTTTTTTCTTTAATTTAGCTGCTATTTTCTTATTTGAATTTAGATCCTAACTTTGTGATCAAAGTATTCATAATTTGAGGAGACTAAAAAAGTTATTAAATTACTTAATTATAATATATATTTACAAAGTCCCTCTAAAATACTTATGTTATTATTAGATTATATGTCAATCTGTAAGTGGAGAAACTTGATTTTAAAAAAAAAGTAATTATAAATACTTAAAAAGTCATAAATACCATGAAAAGACTTTTTTTGACCGGATTACCATGAAAAGACTTAAAATTCTGTTTTTACACAGATTCTCTGTAGACATGTAACATGATAAAGGGAAAGAATAATAATCAATCACTTTACCCGTTTACGGTCTTAAGCCCGCAACGATGACGTATTTACTAATTATACTTCCACGCACTCGCAAATTTTGTAACCATTAATGTTGGCAAAAAAAAAAAAACTTGTAACCTCCAAACAATTGCTCACATCCCATAATAATCGAGCGGGGCACTGCATTTTTCCGAAACCATCGATCTTCAGCTTCAAAGATGAACGATGGAGCCCAATCTCCTGCGGCTCGTGATCCCATTGTTGAGGATCCGGCTGAGGTTGAGGACGATCCTTCTTTCACCCTCCTTGATCTCACCAGCTGTCAACTTCACGACCTCGACTCCGTCGACTGCCTCCCTACCTCACCGAATTGGACCTCACCACCAATCGCTTATCCGCCTTGGACCCTCGCATAGCCCACCTCTCTAACCTCAAGAAGCTTTCTCTTCGTCAGAACCTTCTCACTGATGCTGCCGTTGAGCCCCTTTCTAACTGGCATGACATTGCCGGTCTTGAGGTAATTCAAGTTTTGCTTTTGCCTCCCAATGCTTTTCGCTTGCTAGAATGGTTTGGGAAAATTGGTCCTTGTGTTCTCTATGCGTTTCCAAAGAGAAACATCGAGCATAAATATCCGATTTTTTTTTTTTTGGAGGCTTATGTGGGTACGATGCTGTGAATTTGATCTTTGGTTGCTGGAAAATTGAGCTTCGATGAGAACCCTTTCAACTTTCTTTCAAAATTTTCCTAATGAGAGGAACTTAAAATTGTAAAGCAGGGAGAACTTTGAAGGATCTTGGAAGGTTTATTCTACCGTCTCTGTTAACTATTCCTAAACAAGGGAAAGGTTACAGAAAACCTTCCCTTCCCCTCTCCATCATAACATAACCCCCAAGAAAGGCATGACGATACACGATGATTCAGAGGACATTTCTAATGGAATTAGACGTCTTAAGTGAGATAGATATTTTCCTTAAAAATGTTCATGTTTATCCTCCTACCCATATCAGATGATGGGAATGAGTTAAGGAGTTAATTAGTTCTTTCATATTCTTCATACTCTATCAGTTGCTTTAAAATTTTAATCTAAATGGAAATCTATTACCTCCAAACATTGAATCTTCGTAATTGGAACGAAAGAGGAAAAGGAAGTTTCCAGACCTTGTTAAATAACTTCGGATGAATTTTACATACAGTTGCTTTAAATTATAAGCCACAAAGTAGTTGGTGGTCTGTGTAGTGCCGGTTAGATATGCTTCTTTCTCATGTACAATTGTTCTTGTCATTGGTTATGATTATCCTTTTTCTATATTTAACCTAATGACAAACTGGTATTTATGCAGGAGCTGGTGCTACGTGATAATCAATTAAAAAAAATTCCTGATGCCAGCATATTTAAGAAACTATTGGTTTTTGATGTTTCTTTTAATGAAATTACTTCACTGAATGGATTGTGTCGGGTCACCAACACATTGAAAGAGCTCTATGTATCTAAAAATGAAGTGATGAAGATGGAGGAGATTGATCACTTTCTTGAATTGCGGATTCTTGAGCTTGGCTCTAACAAATTACGGGTTAGTAATATGGCTTGTTTTAGGAGAATCTATCATATAGTATTATTTGAGACAGATACCACTTTTGTGCTGGCATACATCACATGTTGGGTAGGAGCATGATTGTGTGCCTGTGGAAAAGTGGGTAGTGACTTTGGTCGCTATAGTTTCTAATGTAGCATTGCTTGGGTTTTGATTTATTTGCATTCCTGATTCAGGTAATGGAGAATTTGCAGAACTTGACAAATCTTCAGGAGCTTTGGCTTGGACGTAATCGAATTAAAGCTGTAAACTTGTGCGGGCTTACATGCATCAATAAAATTAGCTTGCAAAGCAATCGCCTGACCTCAATGACAGGATTTGAGGTATTTAGTTCAATATTGTTTTCCCTCTAAGTTTTATACAGAATATTTGAGGGAAAATATTAAAAAAATCAATGAAAGCCCTATTATGGGTTATGTCTTATCCTGCCAAATTATATTTATTAATCAAAACTCATTGGAATTAGGGGGACAAAGATTTTCTACATATTCAATCCATTATTAGACTTTAGTAAATATAATTGCAAGTTTTTTTCCCCTTTCCCTCCCTGAATGCAGAGTTGCGTGGCTCTAGAAGAACTATACTTGAGCCACAATGGCATCTCAAAAATGGAAGGCCTGTCATCTTTAGTCAACCTTCGTGTTTTAGATGTATCATCAAATAAGCTAACATCAGTGGATGATGTACAGAACCTAACACAGTATGTATACTCTTCCTTTTACCTCCATATTGATCATTTATGGCCTTTTGTTGTTAATTTCTGTGCTTTTTGTTAAATAGACTAGAAGATCTATGGCTTAATGACAATCAGATAGAATCACTTGAGGGAATTGCTGAAGCTGTTGCTGGTTCAAGAGAGAAGCTTACCACTATCTACCTGGAAAACAATCCATGTGTATGGTCACCTGCGAGCTTTACTACTTTTGTGTACTTTTATTTAATTGACGTCTCTTGAGATGGGTTATATGCTTTGATCACCAATGTATTGAGTTATATTTTCTATTTATCATGCCTCTTGTTAGGGTTAACTATTATTTGAGATTGTCAAAGAATTCCATGAGCATGTAGTATGGATGGAAAATAAAAGCATGCTTTAATTAATTTTAAGTGTTGAACTATAATATTTTTCTGGATCAAACTAAAATTTAGTTTTTTGGTTGTATGAGTGAAGTGTTTGTAATTCTTGAATAAAGTTGGAGCTTCGAGTTTTTGATAGGTTAAATTACAGTATCAGTACCTAAAGTTTTACTTTATATAATTTTGGAAATTTGTAATTAGATTTTTTTTATTTGTTAAGCCTTCATCAGTATGCTCTCAGAATTTACCAATGGGGTGAATCTGTGCTATCATGAATAATTTTAAAGATGTATCAGTCATGTCTATGAAGATAGGGAGATAGTTATGGATTTTTAAATTATTGGTTCCTAATTATAAAGTTGTGAACTATTTAACTGAGTGATTAACATTTTGGTTGTGTAGGTTTGTGATTTGTGGTTATATTAGTTTCAAAATAAACGGGGTGTTTTCACCATTTTCCTTGAGTTTTAAATATTCATTCATGTTTCTTTATGAACTACTAATTTAATCCTATACTGTTCTTTCAGGCTAAGTCTCCCGAGTATCTTGGCGTTTTAAGGCAAACCTTCCCCAACATCCAGCAGATTGATTCCAATGTATTTTCTTAGAAGGGTCATGGCTTAAGCTTTTATGAAAATTAATAGCTTTTGAAGCTTTGGCTTGTCATATCCTTGGGTGAGGTGCTAGAAACAAATATTTGCATGTTTAATTTGCATGTTTATTTTAGCCTAGTGTTAACGTATTGGATTGGACGTCAAGAAGCTTTCACAAAAAAGTCTTCTATGTGTGCAGGTTTGAGTTGAAAGATTTTTTATTTGAAACTGTCTACCTGATGAGAAGAAGGGGCTGTAAAATCCTTAGGCATTCATGTGGCCTGACCATCAGTTCCTGCTCTGACAAATACGTTTTGAGCTGTTATATTTATTGCCTGGCATATCACATTCCATTTTATTTTGGTACTTTCTCACAGATGGAGAACTTGGTTTTTAAAGAAATGCCCTTTATATTCAGTATACTAAGAAGGATTTAGTATAATGGCCTATCGTGTTATATTTACAAGTGCACATGTAGCAAAATAACAGTTGTTCATATTTCATAGGTGAGTTTATAAGTGTACATATGCATTTTGACAAGGTAAAATCCCACAAAAAGAATTTAGAAATTACTAAATCTCAAATTAGAAATTTCTAGAAACAATCATGATTTGGAATTTTATAATTTTTAGGTTCTTTTCGTCAAATTTCCCTTTTCAACCACTAATCATGACAAAATAGCAAATGTTCACATGAAAATTTACAAATTCTAATTTATGTTATAAGAGTTTATACAGAAATTTACAAGTGTATGTATACATTTTAATAATTAATAACAACAACTAATAAGCAATGGTTATGGTAGAAGGGGCTTTTGGCTTTTAAAAAGACACAAAGAAAGGGACTCTGTGTGGTGCCTCAAGTTTGAATCATTTTGAATGCAAAAATGCTTTTGGAGATCATGCCCGGTTGCGTGAAAAATGCAAGCACGTCACCTTGCGTGAGAAAGCCCGTATGACTAATTTAAAATAAGCTTAGTCTCACCCCCATTGGGTAAAAAATGTAACACCCTTTACCTTGTGTGAGAGGAAAACCGTAACTGAAAAATGAACCTAGTCATCTTGCCATCTAGTCATCTTGCCTTGATGAGTCGAGTTACTTGCAATCTTCTCATTCGAGCAATCCAACTATAAAAGTTACCTCCACAAATATTAAAAAGTATTTTTTTGCAGATTTTGAAATATATACAAAGATGAAAAATATAATTTTAAGATACAAAACTATTTGATTTTAAAATATACAAATATGACAACGTATGTTTTTTGACATTTTTACGTAAAAATACTTTTGAAAATTATAATATGAAATAATTTAGAATTTGGGAAAATGATGCATAAAGAAACCTGAAAATATGAAATGTCAAAATAAGAAACTTAGCAAATGCATTTCACATTTTCAGATTTCTTTGTGTCATTTTCCCTCAGAATTTTCCCTTTTTTTTTCTTTCCTTTTTTCATATTTTTTCTTCGTCATCCATCAGTTTTCTTTCCATCCAAAAGGATCATTAGTAGATATGCAGTGAGGAGAATGTTTTTTTTTTTTTCTCATTTGATTAATGGTTTTTCTTTTCGAGAGACTTGGAGCACAAAAACTTTTCACCTCTACTAACAAGGACATTTTAAAAAATTCAAACTTATATTCTCTAGCTTATAAAAAAAAACTGTTTACCTTCGGGGATGAGTAAAACCGAACCGTAACCGAAAACCGAATAGAACCGAATTTAATTTTGGTTTTTCGGTTTGGTTATTTCAGTTTTTGCTTATATATTTGATTTTTATTTTTTTAAAATAATTCAGTTTCGGTTAGTAGAAAAAAAAATTTCGGTTATAACTGAATAACCAAAATAAATATATTATATATTTATATTTAATAAATATTATTATAATAAATATATATAAATATATGTAAACTTTTTAAATATATTTATATTCAATAAATAAGGTTATAATAAATATTATTATACTAAATCACATTGAATGATGAAATATTTATTAACTAATGGTTGTAATTGTGTTTTATTATTTTTAATTTAAAATTATTTTTTATATTTATATATTTCGATTAATCAGTTAACCGAACCGAAATTTTCAATTAATTCAGTTTCAGTTACTTCGGTTAATTAGTTTCAGTTTAATATTTAAAATTTACTCTATTTAGTTATTCCGTTATCACTGATAACCGAATCGAAAAACTGAATACTCACTTTTAATTTATCCCTTCAACCAACTTGTTTTTATTCAATGGTCTGTCCCACGGTGATATTATCACTTTATCATTTTCCATCACTTAATCCAACAAGGTTAATAAGAAACTCAAATTTATGAAACCCAGGCACAGGTGCCAGAATAAATTACATGACAAAAATCCTAAATACCCTGCAAAAGCACTGTCTCTCTAATTTAAAGGCATATCGTACATGCACACTGGTGATTTTGGAAATTCTTCGAATTTATATATTTACAGATTAAAGAATTATAGATTATAGGTGGTTTAAAACTTCCAATTCTCCAAGACCCACCACTCCAGCAGCATACAAAAAACACAAGGACAACATTTAAAAACATGATTCCAGGGAAATAAAATAACAAGACTCATTCCATTCGTTCTAAGCGGGCAGTAAATTAAGTCCTCTGCTGTAGCAGTCAAGTAGTTTACAAACAAGATACAAAAAGGCTAGTTCATTTCGATTACTAGAAGGCGTCAAACACAAAGCTGAGTTGTAAACAGCTTATAGGATATCCATCCACAACCGGTTTTCATCCAATAAGCCACCATGATGGAAACCTCTGGAGACAAAGTTTGCATGAGAAGAGAGAACTGTGAAATGAATAGCAACAGACCAATCAATGCCCTCTTTCAAATCCAATACGAGTCCTACCAGAACCTCCCTCATGACCATCACGCATTGAAGAACCGCCACTTGCTCTCATAGTTCCTCCACTACCCACTTTTTCCATGGCTTTCTTACCCTTCTTCACTTCTGTCAAGAACTGATCCAGACCAAATGGATCAGCTTCTTCATTTTCAAATTCAACCGGCCTATCCCTTGGACCTGTCCTTTCAGAAGTACCGGCAAATCCTTTATCAGGTTTAAAGCGATCAGTCTTCATAATCTTCTCCAGTTGCTCATCCGCACCTCCATAAGCATCAGAATCCACATCTTTCTTCGGCCTGTACAAGGTTGAGAGTGTTGGCTGAGCAGTAAACAAGCCAGACTCATAAACATTATACTGATCATCAGTGGCAAACCCAGAAGATATTCCTTTATCCTGGTTGAATAGCCTTTCATCATACATAACTTCTGTCCCTGCCTTCGTAGAAGCCATGCCAAGAGCAACTTTCTCACTAATATCACGATCCCTATCTCTTGTAATCTTGCTTTTCTTCCCCATTGCTGCATCCTTAGCCTCTAATCTTCTCTCTCTTTCTCTCTCTCGTCGTCGTTCCTCACGAATTTTTTCCCGTTGCAGTCGTTCCTCCCTTTCCTCCCTTGTCTCCTTGGGGTAACTCTTCTCCCTTTCCCGTGAATGCTCATAATCAACTCTCATATCAGCATCTTCCATGCTGCTCTTTTCAGAAGGAATGGCAACAGCAGCTGGAGGTGCCACACCAGTTCTCTCTGAGCGTGCTTTCTGAGCCAAAGCTCTCAGCTCCTGCTCTTTCCGTTCCTTCTCCTTCAAAAGCATCTCTTTCTGAACCTTGGACCTCATAGCAACTGCTTCTCTAGCCTTCTGCTCTGCAACATACAATGCTTCTGAAAGCTTTGCAAAATTATCATTAATCTGAACATCTTGAAGGCCTCTCCCATCAGCCGCAAGACGCTTGTCAAGAGGAATTGTGTAACCTTTAGGATTCTTCCAATTTGAAATACAAGGGGGTATCTTCCAATCTTGCTGATCTTTCACAGTGACAGGCCTAGGAGGTGAATGCATCACTGGCACAGGGGGAGAGCCAGAAGCTTTTGGAACTCGCTTATGCTTAAACTTGGGAGGTTCAAGTGGATCCACAGGCATCTCAACCATCCTAATAATCCTTTCCTTTGCCCCAGAATTGAATGCTCCAGATTGTTGCGAAGGCTTATACTTGATAAACTTTGCGTCAGATGACTGTTTGGGCACATTCTTTGGCTGTGCAGCACTCAATCTCACATTAACTATCTTCTCAAGTGCAGCTTTCGTTTCCTGTGTCGTTTCTTCAATCTCCTTTTCCTTCTCCTCATCATCCATATCATCTTCTTCATCATTCTTCAAGAATTTTGGTACCAGGTCTTTCTGTTGTGAATATACAATTTTTTTAGCATTTTCATTCTGCTTGACTATTGCATCGTATGCTACATTCCCATGGGCATCAACTGTCACAGGAAGAATCTTTGACCCCGGTTTTGATGATTTATCCCTCCCCATGTCAAGGGGGTACTGTGCAATGTGGATCTCAGGAAATGCTCCCCCATCCCCAAAATCCTCTACCTTTCTAGGAACAAAACCTGCACGCTTTAAATATGGAGGGACAGGCTTATGCTGAATTACCGTGGATTTCTCAGCCTCCGATGTGCTAAATCTCTGCTTGAACCATGGATCACTACTGTGGTCATAAAATGAGGTTGATGTTGATTTCGCTGGGGGAAGAAGGTCTTTCAAGGCCGCCATAATGATAAGTATTTCACGCCCTAGGGGAAATCAGGACCTGGATTGAACCGAATTACATTATAATGAATTGCTGTAAACACCAAATTAAATAAATAAAGGAAATATAAAAAACTATCAAAGTATGACAACCTTACTCAGGTAGACAGCAAAAGAAAGATCGTATGTACAAAGAAATAGGACTCTAACAATTTGTTTCTCTAGAGAAGATATCCACGCATAAAGAAAGTTGCTCGAGTCCTAAAAGACAAATGATTAAAGGCCTTCTTGAAGATCTTTTTTCTCCCAAAAAAAGATCAGCAGTCGCTGATCTGAGACTCATCCACTCAGTCTAACAGTTCGGATCTTCACATGTAATATTGTTACTGTCATAATATCTAAACATCCCAAATCATGACTTAAAGTGTCAATATTTTTGTTTTCTTACGAGCAGAACAAGAAAGGTCGAAATCCAGAAACACCGACATAACATAGATCGCCACCCCGAAAATTTGATCAACGGAGTGGCCCCAGAGATAAAGAGTTTGACAAATAAAAAATAACAAAGGAGCAAAAAGGCGAAGCTCTCCCCATAGATCCAAAGCAGGAAGAACTGAAAACCCTAACCTGATTCGAACGGAGATTCGGCGGAGATGATCGAACAACGAAAACAAACAGGGTAAAGCAACGAAAGCTCTGCTGGATTCAGGATGACGGAGCGTTCAGGCCAGGGAATAAAAAGGGGAGAGCAAGATAATTATAGGTGGCGGTGGCGCTCGATGCGCGTTTTACTTCCGTCAGAGGGAAAGTTTCTCTCGGGAGCCAAGATGAGGACTAATGTTCGTATTAGGATATGGCAAAAGACTGAGATAGCCTTTACAAGTACAGAAAATGGGACCCTGTGCCAAAACTCCTCTCTCTTTTTTTAAAAACCAAATAATAGACTCAAATTGAAAATGAAAATTTATATTAAGAATTCAAACTAGAATTATTGCAAAAGTAATTATTCAATTTGAAAGTTAATTTTTTTATTGTATTTAGAATTTTAATTTATTATAGAATAAATTTAAAATTTTTTAAAGTTATTGATAATATTAAATTAAACTTTATTAAAGTAAAATTATTCTGATATATCTATTATTAATAATTATTGATCAATATCAGTCATTGTATTACTTTTACCTAAAAGATATTTTAGGAATCCAGCCTACAATATTTTCTGCCATTCCTTTATTTTCATCCCATATCACCATAATTTTATTCTTAGAGTTGATATTAAAAAAAGATTGTATAAGATCATCTATAAAGCATAAATTATGTAAGATAAATTGTAAAAAAGAAAAAAAAATGCTTTGGTGATTGTTAGCATCCCCCTATGGACTATATTTTTATGAAAAAAAAATCTAAATGAGTTGAGTCTTTGAGACTTATTAAAATTAGGATATGTCTCTACGTTCAAAAAATGCTCATAAAAACATAGTCTACTAATAAAGTATTTATGTCAGCAAAAGAATAAATAAGAGACCATGTTAACTCAACTTATGAAAAGAACATTTTTCCGGCCAAAAAAAACTTAAAACAAGAACTTTGATCCTAGTCAGTAATCATGCAAATTTAAGGTCTTAAATCACAAATCACAATGAATTGGTTCTCATGTTTTGAGTGGCTGCGCACACGGGCTGGATCGGAGCAGATGACTGAATGAACATACTGTTTTGGGCCTTTATTTTAATTATTTTCGGCCCAGATTTTGTCCTCGGTAAAAAACCCGGGATCACAGTCTCACTGGACGTACTCCTACTACCTTCTTCCCCCTCCCTCCCGTCTCCTCTTCGCGCCCAAGTTGGTCGTCAATGGCGACCGCTGATGCTTCCAACGGTACCTCCATCAGGAATGCTTTTGGGAATGTCCTTTCGTTTTTCATCCTGATCCTGATCGGTGTTTTGGCGTTCTCGATCCGACTTTTCTCTGTTAGTCAACACTCTATGTTTTGTTCCCTAGATCGGACAATCTACTTCTACATGAAATATTTTGTTTTTTTGGAGGTTTCCTGCCTCCGAATTTAATCGAAGGAATGAGTTTTTAATTCTAGCTGTTCATCGTATGTATGTAACCAGCAGATTCGTAAAACACTAATTACAGTATGCATGTATCATTTCGGACTAATGAGAAAGAGGTGAAAACTAAAGTCAGCAGAATGCCACTTACATTGGTCTACTATTTCGAAAGTTCGTTTGACTTGCCGGGTCATGTTCATTGTGAAGACTATTATCTTCTTATTAAGTTCGTTATTCTGGGAATTTTGGGTTCGAAGGGTTCTTTTTTCTTTTTTCTTTTTTAATATTTCAATTTCTTAATTTCGTTATTAAGCATCAATGTAGGCTATTGGCTATATATTATCACTTGTGAGTCATAGCTGTTCTTACCGTCCATGACAATTTCATTGCACTAATATCCAGGTCATAAAGTACGAGAGCGTTATTCACGAATTCGATCCTTATTTCAATTACAGGGTCACTCAGGTTAGCCTTATATTAATTGGAGCTGTTTCGTACCCGATAGCTCATATTCTTTGGAGGCATCTCTCATGTTGATGTCGTAGTGGATTTCCTTTAACCTTCTTAGTTGCTGGTTAATTGCTTCAGAAACTTGAAAGTTCTCATTACTGCATGTGAAATTTATTTTTGGTAAAGCAATATCATGAATATACAATGACAGCGATGTTTGTTGTTTTTATTATCTCTCTAACAAAGACCTAAATAGTTGATTTCCGGTTTAATTTTAGGAAGAGTCTAGTTCTTACATTGATTCACTTGGTTAACGCACAGAACATGACAGGCACTTTTGTTGGTTTCAGTATCTCACAAAGAAGGGGATATATGATTTCTGGAACTGGTTTGATGACCGAACTTGGTAAGAAACTGGAGTACGGACCGAAACACTTTCTTTATTGATTAACGTATTCATTGTAGCTACACTGTTGCCCATTGTTTGTAGACTAAACTTTTGTGATATCCTTTATTCTTAAGGTATCCTCTTGGTCGTGTAATTGGTGGAACTGTCTATCCTGGTTTGACCTTGACAGCTGGTACCTTATGGTGGTAAGTATTTGAAAAATACATTTTAGGATTCTTAATTTTCCTATTGATGGCTGGGTTGCTGATATTTTGGAGGCAATCATTTCAAAATTATTTAAAGGTGATTAATATATTTTTACTATTTCCTTCTGGTATCAGGATACTGAATTCTTTAAATATCCCTCTCTCAGTGGAGACAGTCTGTGTATTTACTGCTCCTATATTTTCAGCTTTTGCTTCATGGGCAACATATCTGCTGACTAAGGTGGGTTCATGCATAAATTATGCATTTCAGTTTTTAATGTGTTTGCTAATTTAGTGCAGCTGCCCTCTATTGCAGGAGGTTAAGGGTCCTGGGGCTGGACTGACAGCAGCAGTGCTTTTGGCTGTGGTGAATTTCTTAACTGATAGTGGCAATGAGATTTTCATCATTGAAATTTTCCCAAACATTTGATGGAATTAATGATAACACGTATTTTTATTTTTCAACCCTTTCTGTTGTTCAAGTAGAAGGCTATTTGATGATGTTTTAGTATTGCTTTGCAAATATGGCTACATATCTCCTATACCTTGTCTTAGTTTTGCCATATACTGATCCGTGTCTCATATCCCTGTATCACTCACTAAAGCTTGACTATCTTGGATGATGGAATTGCAATGAGACAAAGGCTTCAGAGTGACAAAGGATGTGGTTTTGATTTAATAGTTTATCATTCTTACATTGAATGCTAATAAACAGTGGATATGTTAGAATGACAATTATGTTTATGGACGTTCAGTTGATAATAGATTACAAGCATTATATGTATATATCTGGTCGATGCTTTTTTAATTTGCTTTTGCTTGATGCTCTCAAACCGCCTTTATGTATGTAATGGATTATTCTTCTCTTTATAACATTGTTATGGAATATTCTTGGTAATTACGTGTTTGCAGGTCCCCTCATACATATCTCGATCTGTTGCTGGAAGTTATGATAATGAAGCTGTCGCCATATTTGCTTTAATATTCACTTTCTATCTCTATGTAAAGGTTGTTATCTTTTAAATCTTGAAACTTCATTCTAAAGGGCTTTGCTTTTGCTTCAAAATTTACTTTCTCACTTGATTATGTGATATATCACCCTCGACATCACTCGTTGAATAATATTATATTCTGCACAACTTGTCACTTATGTACCTTTTCTTCTCTACCAAGTTACTGACTTGACTTGCATGTCTTTCAGACACTAAATACAGGGTCCCTCTTCTATGCCACTTTGAATGCCATAGCATACTTTTACATGGTAAGCTTTGTATGTTTCTGTTATCTAATTATCAATGCTTATTCATTTTAAGAATTGCTACCTGCCTTTTATGTCTTTCAGGTTTGCTCATGGGGAGGATACACTTTTATTATTAACCTTACACCAATGCATGTGCTCTTGTGCATTATAACCGGTCGTTATTCTTCTCGCCTGTATATTGCATATGCGCCTCTTGTAAGTATCTATTGCAATTTTTGGTTATAATTAATGCTAAATCTTGAGGAATTGGTTAGGCTTTTTAAACTGCCAATGTTGAGAATGCTTTATACTTTTATGGTTTGGCTTGCACTGGAAAAATAAGGTGCTACTTTTTAGTATTAAATGCAGATTTGGGATCGTTAACGGATAAGTAAAATGTGTGACAGATTTTCGCTGAATGATGTTTCACATCTGAATTTTACACTGCACCTGTTAAAAGATAAATGTGAATTATAGCATGATATGCATTCAATAATGCTGTTGTAATTTTTTTTCCCCTCAATGTGCAACATAGGTAATTCTGCCGCCTCTCATGGACATGTTTTAAATTGCAATTAGATGTCCATAGCTATTCACAGATTGGACATTATTTGTATATTTAGGAAGTTTTTCTGATCCAGCTTCACATGTTTCTGGCTCACTTGAACAATTTTCTCTATTCAGGTTGTTTTAGGTACACTGTTGGCCTCCTTAGTGCCTGTTGTTGGATTTAATGCTGTAATGACATCAGAACATTTTGCATCATTTCTGGTGAGTCCCCCCTACTCATGGGATCAGAACATTTAAGGCTGATTATAGGCTTAAACATTTACAATAAATTATCACTTTCTTGCTGCCATTATTGTTATTTTTGTAATGTTTGTAGAAATTTGCAGTTTATTCCTGTAACTTTGGAAAATAACAAGCAAGCAAGAATGTTTGCCCTCTTGCTTATGATTTTATGCTGATTCTGCAGTTGCTTGAGCTTGATTGAACCAATTTGATTGCAATTACGTAGAAATCAAATTCCATTTTGAAAACTTTTTGCCTCCACTTTATCGCTTGTTTTCTACATTAAACTTTATTTTCATATTGCCGATTTTTCTTCTGCAGGTTTTCATTATCATCCATGTGGTTGCTCTTGTATACTACATTAAAGGAATACTTTCCCCAAAAATGTTCAGAGTAGCTGTAACTCTTGTTGTATCTGTTGGCTTGTGAGCATTCATTTCTATGGTTTAGTCAACTGTTCAAAACTTAAAAAGGATTACTAATCCCCCTGCTTGGACTTAAATTATTTTGCAGGGCAGTATGTTGTGCAGTAATAGCAATACTTGTAGCACTGGTGGCTTCAAGCCCTACAAAGGGATGGAGTGGACGAAGTTTAAGTCTACTAGACCCGTTAGTGCCCCATTCACCACCTGTTTTATTTGTTTACTCATGTTACAATACTTCAACAAAATGACTATTTAATAAGAGCAAGTCATTTTTGCGGTATAGCATGGTGTTCTGCACCCATTTACTTCATTTAAAAAGCAAGTTTCCATTTGAGGTTTTTTTTTGCTATCTGAATTTCATTCTCATTATAAAACTTTCACCAAGCATTCCAGAAGAATTTCTTGATTCATCAGTTTATGTTTTTCCAACTTTGAATCGTGGGGTTGTGAATCAGCTTTCAAGCTTTAAACCTGTTTGCATTGTGACAGTACATATGCAAGCAAATATATTCCTATCATTGCTAGTGTTAGTGAGCATCAACCTCCTACCTGGCCTTCTTACTTCATGGACATCAATGTCTTGGCATTCTTAGTTCCAGCTGGCATTATTGTAAGTTTTGATTTTCGGTAGAAAAGGTGCTGTATCTCTTTTAATTTTGTTTTATGAAATATTTTATCTGGTTGCCTACCTGTTGCAGGCTTGCTTTTCACCGCTATCTGATGCTAGTTCTTTTGTGATACTTTATATAGTGACAGCAGTATATTTTTCTGGAGTCATGGTAAGAGTTATTTTGAGGCTGCATTCTCATCATACATTGTTTTTCTCCTGTTAATTTTGTTGAAATAATCATTCTATTGTCAAAATCAGGTCCGCCTGATGCTTGTACTAGCACCAGCAGCATGCATCATGTCTGGGATTGCCCTTTCTGAAGCTTTTGACATTTTCACACGATCTATTAAGTTTCAGTTACCGCACCATCCAGGTCATTCTCATGTTCATGTAAGGATTTGTTCTTGATTCATCACTTGATTCAGTCCTGCTTTAACTTCTTCGATTCACTTGATGACTTTGACTTTTCCCCATTGTGCTTTTAATAATTAAGGCTGGGAATGCTAGTCTTGACAGCATTGTAGAATCAGACAACGTGAGCAAAACTGAAAAAAGTGACGATATATCAAAGGAACGGGGCTCAAAAAAGAACAAGAAGAAGGAAAAGGAACCTGTGGAAAAGCCTCTTAGCAAGCCACAAGTTAAGAGGCTTTTGGTTTTACCTCTATATGCATCCATCATCGCAATTTTCTTGCTTGTGTTGCTTGGTGCCTTCTATGTGGTAATTTAATTCTCCCTTTCTCTACATTATGTATTTGAAGGCATACAATATTTTGATTGACGTATGGTAGGTTTGAACCATAACATTCTTCGGACTACCTACCAATTGTGAACCATGTATTTGTATCTGATTCAAACAAGTGGTTATTTCTCTCACCAGGAATTTACAAGATGTTTCTTCCTTTTTATCCAATTAATATATTTTATCCTGTCACTTTGCAATAGGGTTAATTCTGCACAAATCACAAGTTTCTTTGTCGTTAAATATTGCGAGGCTTTGTTGGTTACTCACAGGAATGTGATTGATGTCTTATTTTAGTGAATCCCTTATTGCTATCTTTTCTTAGATAATGTTTTGTATCTGAAGTGACGTCACTGCGTTGATCTTGCTTGTAGGTTCATTGTGTATGGGCGGCAGCAGAAGCTTATTCAGCCCCTTCTATTGTTTTAACATCACATTCTGATGATGGCCTTCACGTATTTGATGATTTTAGAGAGGCGTATGCTTGGCTGAGTCATAATACAGATGTAGATGATAAAGTGAGTTTCATGCCATTTCCTTTATTTTCTAGATCTTGTGATAGTGTATGACTTAAACATTCTGAAAAAGTTGTCTCCCTTTTCCTTTAATAATTCACATAACTAGGCTGGCTCTTTTTTTCTTTTTCTTTTTTTCCCTTCCTCTTTAAAAAGTTTAGTTTGGAATATATTAAGGATTTTAGGCTTGCTTGAATTCCTTTGTAATGATTACTGAAATTGTGCTTTATGCTTTGGAATCCTTTAAAAAATTTGCCTTAGCTTTTGATTTGGTTTTAGCGTACCATTGAGGTGCACTGATGATGACGATTCTTTTTCAATATTTGATATGTAATGTAGAATGCAAATGAAAATTTGATGATTTCATATTTCATATAGTAGACTCTCAGGGCATCATTTGCCTCTTACGTATTCTTTGGGTCCTGTGATGACTGTTCTTTTCAAAATTTGATTGTTAATTATGTCGATTTTGGCTAAATGTGTGTGAAGTCCCTTTTTTTATGCAGGACTTAATCTACTATATTTTGAAGAGCACATTCAGTTTCTAATTTAAAAAAAAAAAGACGAATGGAAGAATTTCGTCTCCCACTTTTTATCGTTGGATATTGGTGTCTGCTGAGTTGTTATCATATCTGAATTTATGCTACTCCCTCTGTTACGTTTTATAAGATCTAGTTAACCAAATCACAGTTGATTAAGATTAGTTGAGCGTCTTGATTTTTTCTAAATTTAATGTGATGTTCCAAAACTACTCTTTGTTTTCTTTTCACTAGAATTTTCTCTCTCTACAATTAGTATTGCTGCAAACCTTAATTATGAAAGACATTTTCGGAAGGATGTAATAAATGCTTCATTGCTTTTCATAAAAGATACAATATTTTGAAACATGCAAAGCTCCTATAGGAGATCTTATAAAAAGGAATGGAGGGAGTGCATTAACTAGATTAACGAGTGATAACCCTCTAAAGGCAATTTGCCTACTTTCAGCTTCCCTTCCACTCTTGGCTCCAAAACAAAATGAATTTTTGGCTAACAAACATCTATTGCTTATCAATGTCAAGAAATATTGATGCTTATTTAAAATTTTTTGTAGGTGGCTTCTTGGTGGGACTATGGATACCAAACAACAGCCATGGCCAACCGAACTGTCATTGTTGACAACAATACCTGGAATAACACCCATATTGCCACCGTTGGTACTGCCATGTCTTCTCCAGAGAAGGCAGCTTGGGAAATATTCCAGTCATTGGATGTGAAATATGTTCTTGTTGTCTTTGGAGGTTGACATCGTTTCTCTTTGTTGATATTATCTTAGTCAAATCATCTTGTTCTGATTTGTTAACTTTCATTTTTAGGATTGGTTGGCTATCCTAGTGATGATATTAACAAGTTCCTGTGGATGGTTCGTATTGGAGGGGGTGTATTCCCTCACATAAAGGAGCCAGATTACTTGGTAAATTCCACTGTGAGACAACATAGGTTCTTTTGTCAAGACTAAATATATTATTTAGGAAACTTGATGTTAATCTAGCTTCCTTTTGTGATTGCTTCTAATGTGTTGTGGTTGGTAATTATTATTCTTTTCTTTTCTTTCCTTCCTTTTTTTAATCTTTAGAGGGATGGTCAATATCGGATTGATTCTATGGCCACGCCAACAATGCTAAATTGCCTCATGTATAAACTTTCATATTTCAGGTTTGTTGTGCGGGATTTGATTGTTCATAAACATTCTATATTCATTTGTTTAGGTGACTTAACTTCCCCTGGTCATTTTTTGCGACAGATTTGTTGAGACGGATGGTAAAGGCTTTGACAGAGTAAGGCAGACAGAGATTGGGAAGAAATATTTCAAACTTGCCCATTTTGAAGAGGTGAGATGAACTGCTTATTTGACGCGTAGTGTTTTTTTTCTGACCAAAATAGTGGATCAGAGTTAGGGCAGACAATAGAGTTCTATTTCCATGCCCTCTATGGTGGTTGCTGAATTCACACCACGCCCAACTTTAAATCTTCCTTTGACATTTACCTTCTGTAGTAAAGCGAGGGCAAAATATACATGATAAGAAAGGTCATTTTAGTTTCAGCAGATCTTAAAAGATGTTAGTGTAATGCATCTTCATCTCAAATATTCTGGTAACTCCATTAGGGTCTGCGAACAGCAACTAGTCCCTGCTTTAGACTTACATGATACTCTGGACATGTTTATGGTTCTTCATGTGATTATTTTTAATTAGATGCTGTATTAATTAAGAATCTAAAATAACTCCCCGCCCTCTCTTGATGGTAGGGTTACACGGTATAATTTTTCACTCAGTTCATTATTTTATGCAAGACTTGGTCCTGCAGGACAATTTGTATTAAAATGAACTCTTACACCTTCATCAATCTGGATTACCTGCCTAAATATTAATTGCCCTCTGGTTCGCGTCTTGCATGCTTGCTTATATATGGATATCTTTAGCCCTGAAGCCTCCCTTAGTATTCTTCCTCAGATTGCTCCTTCATTCTTTCTTAGTTTCTTGTTGCTAAGTAAATTACTCGTTCGTATTTCTGTTACAAAACCAGACATGCATATATTTTTCCGTTTAGCATGTTAATTTGATCTCTCCATGTATCCACGCGTCCATCCCTGGATCCTCATCTTTGCTTTAAGATATGCAGCCCTACCAAAGTTGCTTTATCGCTTCATGTTACTATTCATCCATTGTGGACCCTGATAGCTTCTAGAAACACGCCGTGCATGCTTAACTTAGTTCCTTGCCAGTTAACCAGTATAGACCCGCGTATTGGAATGTTCATCAAACTAATAAAGATTGACCATTCTGCCTGTTTATCTCTGTGGTTAAGTGTTGCATCCTAGTTTCTGTTATTATATTAGTTTAATATATTGTTTACCTCGCACCTTTTAATTATCACTGGACGTTTGTCTTGTCCATGCATTCAGGTTTTCACAACTCATCATTGGATGGTTCGGATATACAAGTTAAAACCTCCAAAGAACAGAATTCGAGGAAAGAAAAAGTCAAAATCGGTATGCTATAGAGTTCTTTCTTTGCCTTAAATTCTATCTTCGTTTTTTTATATTTCATCTTAAATCATTCGGCTAGCCATAACTGTTCTTTTGACACCCCCTTCCCCTATTTGGCAGAAAGCAAACTTATCTACTGGTTCAAAAAGAAGAGGATCAAGAAGGAATCCATTTTAGTAGTTCTTTTCCATTTCTTTTTTATCAATAGGTGAACATATTTATTAGCCAGTATTCTGTATGCATGTACAAGGAAATGAAAAGATTTTGTCGGCAATATAGTCATGGGGTGCTTCAAAAGATTTTGAAAACACATCAATTCCACTAAATTATCTAACAACTCGTTGCCTGTATTATTAATCCCCATGATTCAGGTAAAAAAAAAAAAATCCCCATGATTGCAAATATCATTTTCTGCACATGAAATTAGTTGGTATGTCAAGCATATAAATAAAATTGTAAAAAAAAAAAGATGTGAATAAAATAAATATAACTACTTTATTGTTTAAGAAAACAAGTTATTACGTAATAAAAACCATGAAGATATAAATATCGTCAAATATTAATGCAACTGAACCGATCGTAGCCTCCTCTTTTTTTCGGGAAATAAGGACAAGCCGTGGCTTGGGAACAAAGCAACGTGTGTTTGGATGGAACCAAACTGTAGTTTGAAAAAGTAATTTTGGAGAATAGATTCTGTGAAGAATAGATTTTGTAAAAAAGTAATTCTGAGAAGTGAGAGTGTTTGGATAGTTGTTATCAGAAGCACTTTTTATATATACAAATTACTGAAAAAAAGACATAAGTTAATATGATAATTACAGAAAAAATAGATTTTATGATATATTTTAATTTGAAGGAATAAAATTGTTAATAATATATTTTTTACTAACATAATTAATAATACATAAGATAATATAATTAATTAATAATTAATATGTATATATATTTATAAAATATAAGATTAAATATGTTTATAAAAAAATATGTTTATAAAAAAAATAATAAGATACATATCATATAGGCTCTCACACTCTCCCTTTTTTCTCTAAAAGCAAAAAAATTTTGCTTTTTCCAAAACCATGGTTTTGACCCAAAATCATGGTTTTGGTTTTTGGGGGGGTGTTTGGGTGATTTATTCCCCAAACCATGATTTGGGGTCTCACCCAAACACACCCTAAGTAGAAAAGAAAAAGTACACGAAACAAAAAACACATAAAGCGAAGCAGCTAGCTCCAGGCTTCGTACACTATGCTGGTCGTCAGACACTATCTTCGCGCATCCTGCCGGCACATTATGTATTAATATCGTATCGAAAGAGCCATGATGTCCTGTCCTTGCCAAAAAATCAGCACACTTAATAATTTCTCTACCAGTGTGGTGCATTTCTACTGACCAATTCCCATAGATCAGCTCTCGTGTATCTGTGATGAGGGTCCTCAAAGGGTGTTCTACAATATGGTCCCTCATCAGTAAGTTGAAGGCCTCCAGAGAGTCCGTGCAAAGCATGACCCTGGGAAATCCCATTTGCTGGCACGTGATCGTAGCCTTCTCTGATCCGGATTTTTGTGGAATGTATAGCTACATGGGATATTGAAAATTAAAAAAAAAAAAAAGGTATGCGTACTATGGAAGGAAATCAAAAATATTTCTTGAAAAACAGTTCAGATATACAAGAAGTAATGCACAATAATGATTTTAAAAAAAAGAATTTAAAAATAAATATTCGTTCAAAAAAATAAAACGCAGTGACAATTCGACTTCATCACGTGAGAGAGGCAGCTGGCACAGCTCATCAGGGGGTTTCCGCACTCTTGATAATTGATTTTTTTAATAAAAGTCAACGACATTGTCAGCTTGGATGACCAATGTTATGCCACATCTCATGAAAATAAATAATCAAAACCCAAGATGGAGGATCAACAGGCCAAAAATAAACAACATCATTCAATGGCTCCAATCCATCCCCCCCCCCCCAAAAAAAAAAAGTTACTTCCCCCTGTACAACGTATAGTTTTTCCTCTATTTTAAACATCATTGTATTCCTTCACATGGTCAGTTGCTGCTCACGAGAAGACAGTTATCCAGACCGGTTTCCCCAAAAATCACAAGATTCTCACAAGCGTGGAAGTAACATCTTTCAGACGAAGCAAAGTAAGTCACCTCGGATATATACAGAATACATACTTCCAAGTTGGTCGATCAAGTCTCCCCAAAACTTTGAATTTGTCGGCAGATTCCAATATGTTAAAGGTTACTTGACATGTGATTGTGATCACGCCAAATTTTTTTAGAGTTTCGTAGGTAAATTGTATGTCTTCTTTAGGAATTTAGCTGCTGCTTCATCATTCCGATAACACAACACGCGGAGAAGTGTGTTTGGCTCTCTTGGACTCCATTGACCTGTAGTTGGAGGCATTGGAAGACGGGACTTGGATGAACCACCGCACATCTCCTTTGTGAGTTGACTGAACTGTTCAATAAGGCGCCCAGTATCCAGGCGAAACAGGGGAAGTATATCTCTTACAGTGGTCGAAAGTTTCCCTATCAATTCAGCTGGTAATCCATCTCCATTGGACCAGAACAAATCAGTCAAAAACTTGAAATCCTCCTCTATTATTACAGAATCCTGCAAACTGAAAGCACGGGAGGGGCCTCCAGCTAACAAAACCAACAGGAACCCTTCAAAAGATGCTTTCATTACATCTGTAATCACGCGGGTTCTCACTCTGTCATGCACTGTTGATGATATAATCTCCAAATATTGCTCAAGCTCCTGAAGGAAAGGCTCAATCCTAGAAGAGGAGACTTCCCCAACATACAGGCCATCCCAGAGAACATTACGAAGATCATGGAATACGACCTTGTGTGCTATGACTTCACAGAGGTTTTGGATGCCTTCCACACAGGCAGCAGGGGAACGCTCAAATTTAAAACCCGCCCCATTTGCTATATCATCCGCATGAATGGATTTAGAGCTCCCCAGATGGGCTGCTGTCCGCTTTTCCAAAACCCCTAGCTCCATGCGAATTCGTTGCATAGTATTGATACGAACGCAAAGCTGCGGTATCCCAAGAGAGTTGCCGCCATTTTTAGTTCCAACCTGTGATTTCCTCAAATGAATCCCTTGTGACTTCTCTTTCTTCTTGAAAACGCCATGAAATTTTGATTTTGTTAAGCACCTAGTCAAAGCAGGTATAGCTGGTAAGAAAGTATTTCGGTCCCCTGCATAAAACATAAAAGGAAAATCTGGTTAATGTGGGGGTTGAGAACTTTTTGGTAGGCCAAATGTTACCCAGTAGCTACATACCACAGCCAGATTTAGCCTTCCTAACGTAGTGCTCAAGAGATTTGTCAAGACCAAACATCAAATCAGGAAGCAAAACTGCATGCGCAGATATTGGCAACAGAAAGAATGCTTCTAGAGTGTCATCTATGATTCGCAGAACTTCAATAGCAGAAGGAGCAAAGCACTCTTTGTTTGCTCTTGGATTCCACACCTATTCGAAAAGGGATAGAAGAATGGTTAGGTCATGGATTTAAGTAAAAGGACAAGTTTCACGTCAAAAAATAGTGAGAAGCATTATTGAGCTTCAGAACAAATCTTTTAGCAGATACTGTAGCTGAGTACCCTCCAACAAAAAAGAACCCAAAAACAAAAAAGAAGAAGAAATTTATTTATTTACTAGGAGAAGAAGGAAATAATCCCCAGAATCCTAATGAGGTTCACCGAGTTCAACTATCAATAGTTTATTTTTTATTCCTTTTGAAGGGGCCTTAACAATCTCATTCAGGCATTGAGACAGAGCCAAAAACCTCTAGTAGGATATTACGCATGAAAATAACCATATTTTTGGTAGGAAGAAAGAAGGCAATACCAGAACCCTAATGTGGATTACTGAGTCCTTCTCAATAATTGATTTCTTTTCTATTGCCTTTTGAAGGATCTAAACATTCTTCAGTCAAGCACACACGTCACAATGAAACCATGCCAAAAATAACTAGTAACTACTAACATATGAAAAATATTTTTTGTGGCACTCCACTTTTGGATACATGGTATCCTTTCACTAGGAGTACATCTCAAGAATATTGTTTATCTGTAGGAATAAAGGAAGCTTGACTAGAAGATTAGCAAGATTCTGGAGTACCTCTTTCTGCAGATTTCTGTTAACCCATTCTTCCATTCTATCAACTCTGACCTTCGCCCATGACTTAACCAGATTGGCAATTACAGATTCAGCCTCATAAGGAGGCATCTCCCTTATAATAGATTTCCCCCCATCTTCACTGTCAACAGAATCTTCTACCGCTATCTGTACAAGATTTTTCTCCAATTTATCAGCAGCCATCAGCACTTCTATAGCATCAGGTGTCAACTCAGTAATACCCCTGACATATTGCTTCAACTCTTTCCCATAACATGCATGAAGGGTAGCTACAGCAACACCAGCAGCAAGATGATGCCAACTCTTGAGTACAGGACTATATATTGCCTTCTCATTGAAAGCCAATTCGGTAATGTCTTGTGCAAGGACCGAAAGAGTGGGAAAGGATTTATTCTGTTTTCTAGATGCATGCCTCCCAGGGTCCAGTTTCTCCAATTTCTGCCTTAGAAAACAGACTAAAAGAAGTTAAGTTGCATTCTTGCCACCAAAATTAAACTATAGATGTATTCATAAGCCATCTTTGTACTTCACAGAAGTTTCCAGAAGTTTTAACCTCCAGCAACAGGGAAAAAAGTTTTTAATCATAAAGGAAAGCAGAGATGATTTTTTTTTTTTTGGAATATAACAACGCAACAGAGTAAAACAACTCACTTAGATCGAAGGCATGCGCGTATACAATTACTAGTAGTTCATACCACCTGTAATGGAGTATTCCTTTTTCTTTTCTTTTCTTTTTTTTTTTTTTTTTTTTTTTGGGGGGGGGGGGGGGGGGAGGGGGATTGAAGAATGGAACTTGCCTGAGTAAAAGCAGCACGCAGTGATGATCTAATATATTTGTCAACTTTGCTGAAAGCAACATCAGTTTCCTTTCTCTTCTTATTGGACTCATCTTCTGCCAACATTTTTGCTGATAACACTGCCAGAGACACAACATTTTGCAGTGATTCAATATTATCATGATTGAAACTATCATGATATGAAAGAAGCCTTCTCTCTGCCCAATTTAACATCAAACTCAACGTAGAGCTCAAGGTTTTTGTGTAAATAGGATCTTTCCTGGCATTAGGATCTTTTTCAACTTCTGCCAGTAGATTACTGGACGCAAACAGTAGATCATACTCCACTTGCCCAGTGGCAACGTACTGATGAAATAAGACCCAAGAAAAACAAAGATTATGCAGCATGTCATTCATTCCAAGAATAATCCAGGTCTTCTTAATGAGCTCTAAAACCTCGTCAACCTCTTCAATAACTGAAGTTTCTTCATTAATATCAAAACATGCTTCTAGTAGAGTCTGGTAGATCTTGATATTCAATGGAAACCCGTCAGCCCAGTGACATGCCTCGGAAAATGATCCATCCGAGGATCTACAAGCAAGAGACATTACAGCATTCCGGAGGGCTTGCATTGATTCGCCACTCCCTGCTATATCTATGGGTTTCTCAAGGGCTCCACGAATAATGCGCTGAAGCTGCTGCGCAGAAGGGTCTCTCTTGTTTAGCGGCAGGTAAGAATGCAAAAGCAATCCTGCTTCAAGAACCTTTAAATTTTTCCTTAGCCAAGCCTCATACTCTTGTGGAGAGGGGAAATCTGAAGACTTGAGCTGTTGTATCAGTTCTAGGGGAAGAACAATTGACTCCATGCGTCTTCCAAGCTATTTCATAAACAGAGTATTAAGCTATCATGAGCGGATGCGAAGTAAAGCAGCCAGAAAAATGTACGTGCTGAAATTTCACATTTTGGTCCACATATTTCAATCCCAATTTATTTAAATCTTAATAAACGGAAGAGTCACCTTTTTCAGTGGCAGAAAGCCAGGAAATACCATCCGAGCATAACGATCAACAACCAAAAAATATTAAAAGTAAAATAATAAAATACAAGTTCTAACCCGTATAACAAAGGAATGCACAGTAAAAGAATGCAATAGTCTTCATAAAATTGGCATTCGCTATTATTGCTTTTGCAGCAGAAGAAGAGTAATTCGAAAGACATATAGAACATCTTCTTCTCGTATCTTCCCAGACACAACTTAGACTTAGAAACATAAATCGCCCCTACGAATTTAAAATTTCAAGTACGAACGATCAGACATATACATGGTTCGAAAGATGTATGGGGAATAAAAACGTTAAATTCGAGGTCGTGTTTCGAAATCAGGAATAAATTTAAAAAGAATCAATTAAGAATAAAACAAAAGGCTTTTAGCATAGACAATTATAAAGTTTGTTTCTCCTTCATCTTCTCTCAGCAATAAGGCAAGTCAACAACTGCTAGACTGCTAGGCTGTTCAGCAAATCAAACGAAATTCAAGTCCCGAGCTTAAAACAAGATACAGATCTATCATCTCCCCGCTTATACCTTCCGCTATTTCTTAACTACAGGTTTCTATACTGATTTTCCGAAAGAGGAAAAAAAGATTGCACTTAACTAAGTTCACACCTGACCCGCCGCCACTCTCAGGAGGGCTCGACGAATTCTTGTATCCGTCTGCTCAGAAACCCTCATCTGTAACCTCATCAACTCCCCCGTCGTCACCGCCCGCTTACTCTTCACCTGACTCGCCAACTCGCCCTTCTTCTTTGACGACGAGGTTTTGAGACCCAGAGCCTTCTTCACCTTGCTTGCCGCCGTCGAAGTCAGCGACCTATGAAGCGACGGAGACGGCGTCAGCGCCGAAGAACTCCGTCCTCCTTTCTCTGACTGAGAAATGAATGTCAAGGGCTTCCCCCCGGTGCTCCGACAAGCAGCAACCAAGATCTCATAAGCGGTTTCCCGGAGCTCCGAATCGGACAGATTGGGAGCCGGATCGCCGAAGGGAGAGGGAAGGTCTTCAATTGGATGAACGGGCATGGTGTTTTGGAGCGACTGGTGTCTCCTAGAGCCGCCGAGTGCTCTGTCCCTGAAGCTAATAGACATTCCTTATAGCCAAAAAGCGAAAAAGAAAAAGGAAGGAATGCTTTTTTCCTCTCTCTAGTGTGGTACAAGTTGCTTTCTTTGGGCCAGTGATGCCGATCCCCCCTCTCTCTCACTGTGCTTAGACGTCAGAGAAAGAGTGAAGGAGTGGAAGGTTGAGTTGGTTATTCTTGCTTGCCTTTGAAGGTAACAAGATGATGCTGTGTGGTGGGGACAGAGAAAGGGGAATTGAGAGGAAGGAGACTCGTGCCCTGTAATAACAGTAGAGAGCGGTTTTTGGGGTGAAGAGCAAAAGAGAGCTTCCAAGTTGAGAAATAATGGAGTTCGGAGGTGAGTAGAGAACAATCCAAGAGGAGACAAATGACGAGGAAACTGAAAGAAAACGCAGGAAAAATTAAGCTATAATTCTTAGTTTTAAATTTAATTCACAATTTTTTTGCTAACGGATTAACTCATAATCTGGCCACTAGTCCAATTTGTTTGAGTTTTTTTTGACCGAGACCAATTTGTTTGAGTTGGAAAGAAAAGTTTTAATTCTTCTGGTAAAGTATATTTTTAATTTTCTAATTTCATATAGATTTTTTGTTTACTCTCTTAATTTTATCAAGCATTTTCTTTCAATCATCTAATTATCTTTAACATGAGTAAATAATGATTTATTGCGCTAATTATTAATTATTTTTAATAATTATATTTAATGTATTATTAACATTTTGTAATATTTTGTCGATGTTTAAAATTTTAATACAATCTTTTTTATAAAATGAATAGTGTTAAAATTAAATAATTGAAAATACAGTTTAAAAAAATTAAAGGATTAAAATTAGAATTTGCTCAAAACTTTAAAAACAAAGTACATTTTTCCAATTTTTTAAAGCAATAATAATAATAATATCATTGCTGCGCCAAACAATACATTATTGGCGCATATTTCATTAGGTTTCCATGGAATCTTTCGTAACTGTCCTTGCTGGATCCGTGCCAATTATTAAGTGCATACGAAAAATCTATCGCCTAAAAGAAATAAAAATAATGAAAACAAAAATAGTTTATTTATTAATTGTAATATGCATGTTATAAGAATTGTGTTTTTTATATGCAAATGCAATCCTTCCACTTCCTTATTTATTCAGTTGTTAGTGCGAGTTAGATAATTTTTTTAATCATAAATACCTGGTTCTAAACCTAACATCCCGTGTTTTAGTAGCTGCTACCAACAAATACTTCTGGGATAAAAATATCGTTTAATTCATTTTTTTATTTAGGCATATCATATGTCAGTCAAATATATATATATATAATTATTTCTATGGAGTTAATATTTGTTCTCTCAAGGCAACCTTACAATAATTTTGATTATTAACTGGCAATGTTATTTCAATATGCATTTTGAGTTAGGAGTTACTCTTCACAGATTTTTTTCTGGGACAAAAATACCTCTTCATCTATTACTATTGTTTTCAAACTCCGTTATACTAATAACGATGAACTGAAAATATGTTTTTCTTGATATTAAATTAAGGACTAAATGGCAAAAGATAGAAAGCAACACAAACTTCTCTCTTTCTGGTTTCTACCATGGATTCAAATTTCTCTCAATAACAACAACAATTGAAGTTGTTATTTCTTAAACTTATAATTTAGTGTTTTAAATTTTGCAATAGTAGCATTTTTATATTAAAAAAAAAAACAGTACCGAAATAAAGAGATTGTTATTATAATATAAATTAAGAAAGCTAGCTGTATTTAAGTGATGAGTTATGAAATAATGTTAGGATATTTTTTCTAGTTTCGGGTCAAAGAGTAATTTATAAAATACGAGACTGATTCCTTTTTTTTTTAATGTAAATAGGAGACTAATTCTACTACTACTCCCTCCGTTCCTTATTATAAGAGACATTTGATGCTTATGGCATGTTCCTATATATAAGAGACACTTAAAAGTTATCTCTATTTTTTTGTATTGATTTTCTATTTTACCCGTATTTATTTTGTCTCCAACTCATACTCTCTCTCCCTCCCACTTTTCTTTCTTTTAATTATTTAATTGTTCTCTCTCATACTCTCTCCTTATTAATGGGGGTATTATTGAAAAAAAACATTATACTTTTTACATATTAATTGTCCTCAACTAATTTTAACTTTTTTTTTTTAACATAATTTGATTATTTGTCTATTATAATAAGAAACGGAAGGAGTACTATTTAAGAAAAGAAAAGAAAAATTGACGTAATAAATAAATGGATATACATATGTCAAAGTCATCCCCCACAAGCAGCTAGCATATACCAGCTATCACGATCGCTTTTCTCATTTTTAATTCCTAATTAATTATTTGTTCCAACATCATGAACAAAAGTTCTTTTAAAAAAATATATATCGTAAGGTTCAAATTTTAAAATAACTAGAAACGAACATTTTAGATATAATAATAATAACTAGACAACACCACACAAGATTCTCACATTCCGATCCTTCTATTCTGTATGACAAGCGCCGGCAACCGGATGCTCAGAGCCTCGGACCTCGTATGGCGACCGAGGTCTTTCACCCTTTAACAAGTACTATTTGTAATTGCTGACGATTTACGATAAATACAACTGCACAACTGAGTCCATGTGCTGTCCGTAGTGTACGGAAAATGAATAATGCTTTGAAACATTAAGATCGTACTTTTTTAGAGAAAATAAATATAATCTTTAATATAAAAACCAATTAACTAATTAAAAATTAATTAAATTAATCATTTAATACATAATATTATTTTTTTAAAAATATTTTTATTGATAATGTGTATCAGAATCATTGTTTTATGAAAGCTTTTAACATTTGTAAGAAGTATAATGATTTTTTTTTGAAAATGTGAATAAATATATAAAACAAAATAAATTAAACCCTTATATTTAGACTTAAATTAAATATTAAATTCGTCTAAAAATAAACAATGTCCACTTTTTTGCTTTTAATTATGTCGAAAGAAGGGTCAAATTTGAACAAGCGGGGACGGTGGTGAGAAAGCAGATGATTGCGCGGGGCAATATGCTGGGAAAACCAGTGACATTTGTTCAGAAATGTCTGAATCGGGATAGATTTGGGAGCAGTTTTTGTATTTATTATGAAAATTGTTTATCATTTCACATTCATCATTCGCTGCTTCCACTTTTCTGGGGCCCTTTTGTTACCATTATTATTAGAAAACATATGAGATTTTTTTTTTAGAAAATTGTAACAGAATCCTATAATCTATCAAAAAATCCTATTAACAAGTAAGAAGTTGCTAATTCCTATTCTAAAATTTGTCTTTACAAACTATTCGGTTGTCATTAAGATTTTATATTATTTTTTTAATTAGAACTTTACCACAATTTTCTCATTTTTTGTTGACCGCTCTATTCTGCAGCTTAAAAGATTTAGGCTGATTTTTTATTATATAACTTTAGTAATTTCTGAGCTCAAGACTATTCTTTTTATTCAATAAATTCACTTATTGTCACACATTTTACTGCAAGAAATCATAGGTTATCAAATAATTTGATCAGATTAAGAGAATATCTAGTGCGGGATGACATTGCATATGTTATTTATTTTTATTTAACTGTATTCATTCATGATTAATGTCTGCTATCTATGATGATTATATAGAATAAATTTAAAATTGGAAAAAATACGCTAAAATATCCTCAAAAATGTCAAAGAGGTGAATTTCAAATCCCAAATTAAAACCCTTGTCATATTTTGTAATTTTAAAATGTTATAAAATGACAACACTATCCTAATTCTCAGTGACTGCTTTCATATAGCTATTAACTACTTTTATTTTTAAAATTTCAATGACTACTTTTACATAACTATTGACTACACAAGAATAGTAAATAACTAAACAAAAAGTAATTACCAGATTTCTAATAACACTTGATGTATTTTTTGAAAATTTGAAGCAAAAGTAGTTAATTACGAAACTAGAGTAGCCATAGCTAATTAAGAGTGGTCACCAAAATTTTAAAAATAAAAATAGTCAGTCGTAATACTAAAGTAGTCAATAACTAAACAAGAGTAGTTGCTGAAATTTTAAAAATAAATATAGTCAATAACTAAAAAAGAGTAATCAATATATAAGAAAGAGTAGTCATCCGAAGCTCCAGCGACTGGTCATCCGGAGCTCTGGCGCCCGACCACCTGTAGAGTTATTGGTTCTAGAGCTCTAGCGAAGTGCTGAAGTGGCAATATTTAAAAAAAAACAAGAAAAAAAATAGTAAAAGGTATTTTTGTAATTTTATAAGATTTGAAAATTTCAAAATAGTACAAGAAGTCTAAATTGAAATTCTAAAATTTACATATACTGATTTATCCTTTGACAATTTTTAAGGTTTTATTGTTTTTTTTTTCCTCTTAAAATTTAGCCAGAGCTATCCGCAAAAGTTATGCCTCGTTTGGTACAATGGAAGAGTTTCTGATGGAAATGGAAGTGGAACTGGAAATGGAAGTGGGTTTTAAAGTGTGTTTGGTATGTTGGTGGAATTGTTGCATTAATTTATATATTTTCAGTGTAAAAAGACCAAAATACCCCTAAACTAAAAAAAAAAGGAAAAAACTGTAAACCCATCACTCCATTAGCCGAACACTCTTTCTTCCCACCACCCACAAAGCTTCGCCGCCATCAATGGTGGCCATAAAATTCGTGGCTTGAAGCTAATGATTCCAAGAGCTACTATCACTGAAAAACACAAACCAGACCAGCAAAGATGATGGATTTTTTGAAAAAGCAAGTTGAAAATCGCAGAAAAAAAATTCCATCGAAGCCCATAACCACCTCTTGCTCTCAATCGTTTATCTTCTCACCGCCGTCAAACATCCCTCTTTTGGTTGTCGACAATGCGCCTGGTTTTCTCTGTGAAGGAAGTTGTCAAGGTCGCCGTCGAACAAAGCTGTGGTCTAGAGTGTGGGAGGTTATTCTCATGGGTCACCTGCCTTCGTCCCTTCTTGCCCCCCTTCTCTCCTCAGACGATCCCATCGATGGTGTAGTGAGGATCGGCGCAGGTGGAGGAGCGTCGCCGCCGTTGATGGTGGAGGAATGTCGCCGCCGTTGATGGGGGAGGATCAAGGTTGCCATGGAGCCAAAGGATAAAATGGGGAGACCCCCAGTTCGAGGAGCTGGAACTCGGTTCCTTGGGGGGGATGATGGAACCCACTTCCATCATTTTTGATGGAACTGGGTTCCATGAGGAACTGAGTTCCATGACACCAAACGAGTCAAAAGCAGAGTTCCACT